TTCCCTACCAGGTAGATTTCTTAAGCTAGCCTCTTGATTGCCTTGAGGGTTAGACCAATCCAGTCAATTACTTCATTTCACAAAACAGAACTTATGACCAAGTGGCACCCATGGTTATCTTAAAATTAACACTTTCTGCATGGTCTTGAATCACTTTGAATAGTGAGAATAATGCTGGACTTGGCATCAGAAGTATCTAAGGCATTCAAATCTTGACTCAGTGGGATGGTGCTTTCTTTGAGTGAAATTATCACTCATATAACCCAACTCTGAATATATCTGAATTTATACATTGGCCACATAATTTAAATACAAAAATTTCCTCTCATAAGAGAAGAAAAAAAGCCCTGGCTGGGTAGCTCAGTTAGTTGTCCCCATGTGCTGGGGTTGCAGTTTAGATCTCTGGTCGGGGTGCAAGTTTTTGGTCCCTTATGTTGGAGGCTTCTCTGAAAGCAAGATTCAAATTGTTCCTTTGTTTTGAGGCTCTAGAACAGCACCATCCAATAGAAATACAATGTAAGCCACATAGGTAATATTACATTTTCTAGTATTATATTTTAAAAAGCTAACAGAAATAGGTAAAATTAAAATTATATATAATGTGATATTTCTAAATGTTATCATTTCAATATTCAATCAATATAAAAAATTTTTAAAAATGAGATATTTAATATTCTTTTTGTTTTTTGGTACTAAGTCCTTGAAATCCTGCAGTATTTTACACAAACAGCTAATCTTAATTCTGACCAGCTAAATTTCAGGTGCTCAATATTGGATACCACCACCCTTGAGGCACACACTGTATAATGACATTTAGAATGGGTACCAGATAAGACTTTGGCTTTTGTGAAATAAGAATATGACGAAGATGAAGGCAGTGGTCGAAAAGGAGAACAGGCCTGCTATCCATGCCCTCATACAGCTGTAAAATGCATCTTTTACCCCAGGGCCTCACTGCACAGCTGTATAAAGTGGCCCTAATGTACCCTGAGAGACAGAGCCACTTCCGTGTGAAGACCATTAATTTTAAGGTGGATTCTGGCTGCCAAGATCTTTGGCAATGATGCAATAACAATGAAATTATACATTCTTGTCTTCTGAAGAAGACCTCGTCAATTATCCTTGTAAAATTTTGGACCAAGTGAAAAGAAAAAATCATGACACAAAAGATTAGCAGAAGACCCAGAAAGCCCTTGTTACTCTGTCAGCAATATATTGATATGATTTTTGAAGAGAAGATTGACAACCTTATCACAAGGAGAGAGCTTTTGGTAATAGAAAGGTGATGCTTTCCCCTCTGACTCTGATGGGAGATAACATGGGATTACATAAAAATTATCAACCTAACATCAGATGGCTTAGGGAGGTGAAGTGTTCCTATATTATGGTACAGACTTGACAAAGAATCTCTGTTTTACTTTTATTTTCTTAGGAAATGTCTATAATTTGTCCCTCTAAGTTTCAGGGTGCAGTATGAGTAGTGGGATTCCTTTCCAAAATAACCCAGATACTTGTCCTAAAAGGCAAGTTTTTTTAAAAGTACTTTTTGATACTGTCGTAGTCCGCCTGGGCATCCCTGACAAAATTCTATAAACTGGATGCTTAAAACAACATAAGTTTATTTCTCACATTTCCGGGACTGGGAAGTCCAGCTGACTTGGGTTTCTGGTGAGAGCGTTCTTCCTGGCTTACAATTGGTTGCCTTCTATGCCCTCAGGATGGTGGAAAGTATCTGGTGCCTTTCAGCGGTTCTCAACCTGTGGGTTGCGAACAATGAAAATGCATCCTGCATATCAGATATTTACATTACGATTCATAACAGTAGCAAAATTAGTTATGAAGTAGCAATGAAAATAATTTTATGGTTGGGGGTCACCACAACATGAGGAACTGTATTAAAGGGTTGCTGCATTAGGAAGATTGAGAACCACATAAGGACTCCAGTCCTATCAGATTAGGGCCCCACCCTTACTACCTCATTTAATCTTTATCACCTCCTCACAGGTCCTATCTCCAGATATCTTAGTTCAGGCTACTAGAACAAAGTACCACAGACTGGGTGGCTCAAACAATAGAACTTTATTGTTTTCCAGTTCTGGAGGCTGGAAGTCTTAGGTTAGGGTGCCAATATGGTCAAGTTCTGGTAAGGTTCTCTTCTGGTTTGCAGACTCCTGATTTCTTGTATCTTCACCTGGTGCAAAGTGGAGAGGGGAAGCAAGCTTTCTCCTGACTCTTATAAGGGCACTAATCTCATTCATGGGGCTCCTCCCTCTTCACCTCATCTATATATATAAAAGGCTAAGTGACCAACCGTATGACATTCCGACCATCTGGTACATATGATTCGCACTGGCAATTTAAAAATAAACATTGACTCACGCATGCTCGATACATATAAAGCTCTTGCTGGCACCAATCTACACAGAGTAGGAATATTCCTACCTAAACCCTTTTTTAGACATGGTCAGTTAAATGTTGCTTTCTCTCAAGTTTGAAGAGCGTGTGACGTTAAAGTTGGAAATACTTCATCACAAATAATTTTCTTTCATCTCTGAAACTTCCATTATAGAGAAAGGGAGAATAGAGATATTAAAATATTTCTAAATATAAAATATTTCTAAATATAATTAACTTTTAATGTGCATGAATCTGTGCACTGGGCTACTAGTTTAATACTAATTACTCCCCAAAGGCCTTACCTCCTAATACCATTCCACTAGGGAGTAGGATTTCAACATATAAATTGGGGGAGAAGACACATTCGTTCCACACACTGAATATAATTGCATTAGGGGTTAGGGCTTTAACATATGAATTTTTTGGGGGGGGATACAATTCAGATCGGAGCAAATATTAAAGTACTTAAGAGTACGGAATTCCATTTCAGATGCTCTCTAAATAAATTAAGGTTATCATCTGCTTGGATGATTTCCTTAGGATGAAATTCCACTTAGCTGAAGCCAATGACTAGTTTAGTATTTTCCAGAATTCCAAGGATTTGTATAACATCATTCTCTGACATCTCCTAGTGTATAAAATAGTTTCATTTTCATGATAAAATAAATTTCATTATGACCCATACTTCTCCCAAGAAAAACTCGTGGGGACAGTTTTGGGGGTTTCCAGGTAAACTAATATTACTGCAAGATACTTTTTCAAATTAACTATTTCTCCTATTTTTTTCTCTACAAAATATTTCTTCTTGTTGCAGAACTGCAAGGACAGAATAGGTCTTCCCACCCATCCTGTTTAAAAATAATGAGCATTCCACAGTCAAGAGGAAAAGAGGGTCTTTTAAATAAATATCTGGTATTTCTAGAATAGTTAATTTCTATGTGAAACTAGCAATACTTCCTTCCAAGCTTGAGTGCAGTACATGAATGAACCTGTGAAACTAGAATAAACTAAAAAAGTACCTTTCCTGTAAATATCTTAAAATTGGTGTACACTTGAAATCTATTTTTTATTGCTGCGAGAGTGGGAAATTCCATAAAATTTTAGAGTGTTTTGACTTTGATGTAAAATGTGATATTTATGGTACTAAAAATGGAGATATGCATCCAACTTGTACTAAGTTCCTTATACAGAATTAAAAATCAAGCAAGCAAACAAAACAAACACTAATGGTTCAACAGTGTTCTTCATGAAGTTATTGTAAGGGTGGAGTTCAAAGAAGAGGAACTCAGTCTTTCATGCTCTATCTATTCTAGGCAAGGCCACTGAAGTAGCTAGTAACTTGAAATGATTCAAAATGTAAGCTACCAAGTCTAAGGACTTACAAATTATAATATCACCATATAACTTTTAGTTATCTAATTTAGGAATGTTTGATTCTAAGGGGAAACTAGAAACGAAATGGAATTATCGATAGTAATGCTATTATATAGGCGTTTACTTAAGCTTATAGATATTTTGTTATTACTTATTCATCCTGACATACTAGGCTAATTGTTGTAATTATATTATAGTTCATGGGCTGTGGAAAAGCATGGGACTTGGTTGGAAAGTCTGTACGGAGGATTCTTTGAAAGGTCGGGGGCCTCTGGGGGGACCTTGCTGAAGGCGGCAGCCCCTACCTTGGCTTTTCCAAACAAGTCTGACCCCCTGGGTATTTTACTAGAATCTTTATGTTTAGACTTGAAAACGTCCTTGCTTAAAGGACACATGTGTTTTCTCAAGGATGCTTACCCTGCTGATAGTATCTGATGGTTAATTTTAGGTCAAGCTGTTGTTACAATAGAAGCCAAAGGAGGCAGGCGAACAGGGCTATTTGATGGTGATAGCCAAGTAGTCCCTTAGTCCTCTCTTTCATAGAAATGTGCATCAGAGTAATCATCCATCGTTCAGGGTCTACCGGTCAGCCCCAGCAATGGGCTTCTCACAATTTCTTCTAAGAAACGCTAATTTAGTTTTTGACTTATTTAGTTCGATATACTTGCTAATAATTTTATTTCCGTAATGTTAATAAAAATTTTTAGCATATCCCAATATTAAAACACACACATGTACCTGTGTTAATGTATTATGTATTCTATAAAACATATACACAATGGACATTTTTAAAAGATTAAAGATGGAATAATTAACATTTAAATTTACAATTTTCCACTGAAGTTCAAAATAAGAACAGTACAACCAGATATTCATTATTGTGGAAAGTCTTGGTTTAACACTAACATGGCCATTTGAGTTTGATTTTTTTTCCTAGTAGGCTTTATTTTTCTTTAATAGTTTTAGATTTACAGAAAAAATGGAGGAGATAGTACAGAGTTCCTACATATCTTGCACTTAGTTTCCCCCATTATTAATGTCTTATATTAATATGGTACAATTTTTACACTTAATAGCCAATATTGAGTCATTATTATTAACTAAAGTCAAGGGTTTATTCAGATTTCCTTTAACCTTATGTCTTTTTTTGGTTCCAGGATCGCAACCAGGACATCACAGTGGGTCCCCAAAGCCATCTTGTGTTAACTTCCCAGTTTCATATCATTCATGATAGGAAAAGACAACGAATCAAACAGTTAAGCTTTTCTAAAAATGTTGTATCTAGAATATATTAGTCCAGCCGGCTGGCTCAGTAGTTGAGCATCAACCTATGAAGCAGGAGGTCACGGTTTGATTCCTGGTTAGGGCATATGCCCAGATTACGGGCTTGATCCCCAGTGAGGGGCAGGCAGAAAGCAGCCGATCAATGATTTGCTCTCATCATTGATGTTTCTATATCTCGCTCCCTCTTCCTTCCTCTCTAAAGTCAATAAAAAATATATCTTTAAAAAGTTAATTTAAAAAAGTAGAATATCTTAGTGGGCCCATATCAATAAATTCAATCTGATAGCACTTTATAATTTTTGATCTTGATCCCTTTGTTATATTCCTAGAGATGCTACAGCAAAGTACCACAAACTGAGTGGCTTAAAATAACAGAAATTTATTCTCTCCCAGTTCTCGAGGCTAGATATCTGAAATCAAGTTGTCAGCAGGCTATGCTTCTTAAAGGCTCTTTGGAATAAACTTTCCTTGCCTTTCCCTAGCTCCTACTGGCTCCCAACAGTTCTTGGCTTATGGCTACTTCACTGCAATCTCTGCTTCCATCTTCACATGTCCTTCTTCCTCTGTCTATATATCTCTTCATCCTCTCATCATATAAGGACAGCAGTCAGTAGATTTAGGGCCCAGTCTAATCCAGCATTATGTCATCTTAACGGATTAAATCTGCAAAGACCCTATTTCCAAATAAAGTGACATTGAGGTTCCAGATGGACATGAATTTTGGGAGACAATATTCAACCCTATATAATCCTATACTTTTACTTCCCATAAGATATATAATTCATATATTCTTTTACTTGCTGTAATTTTTTAAAAATATATTTTATTGCCGTAACTGGTTTGGCTCAGTGGATAGAGCATCAGCCTGCAGACTGAAGGGTCCCAGGTTCGATTCCAGTCAAGGGCATGTACCTTGGTTGCGGGCACATCCCCAGTAGGGGGTGTGCAGGAGGCAGCTGATCCATGTTTCTAACTCTCTATCCTTCTCCCTTCCTCTCTGTACAAAATCAAACGCTCCATCCACTGAGCCAAACCGGTGCTGGCTGTGATTTTTGAGCATATGTATTTATTACTATTTAAAATAAAATTAAAAGGGGGGAAAAAACTCACAATTCTTTGCCTTAAAATGCAAATATTCTTTCCATCCAGTTTCTCCCTTTGGTGCACACTACCATGTAGTCTCTCTATGCTGGTCTCCCAGTTTTGCCTGTTTCCAATCTTTTCTCTAACTGCAAACAAAGTGATCTTCCAAAATAATCCTTCCTGTCTTTCAACAAGGATCAATCAAGCACAGGCTCCCTGGTTAGCCTTAGGTGGCTTTTCATGATCTGGTTTCCAGCATCGTTCTTCCAGTTTCATCCATATATATAAAACCCTAATATGCAAATAGATCAAACAGTGGGACAACTGAACAACCAGTCGCTATGATATGCGCTGACCACCAGGGGACGTGTAGAACATGGTGGGTGTCAGCTGCAGTGGGATGGTGGAGCAGGTGAGCAGGGGCACCAGACCAAGACAGGGCTCCAGTCGCTGTCATCAGGGCAAGGCTCTGGTGGTTACTGAAAATTCTTTGCTCCCGTGCGCCGCAGCCCTGCCTGGCACTCATACCTGCTGCTCGTACCTGTCCCAATTGCTCCTGCTGTGAGTAGGTGCGAACAGTGGCTGCTGGCCCTGATCGCCCCTGAGGGCTTCTCCACCTCCCCCTGCTCCTGAGGGGCGATCAGGGCCGGCAGCCACTCTTGCACCCGCTGACAGCGCTGGCCCCAATTGCTCCGGGAGCAGCGGTGGCGGCGGGAGCAGGGCTGCTGGCAGACAGGGGACCAGGGGCCACAGCCGGAGGGACTAAGTGGCGGCACGGAGGATGGGCTGAGACCAGTCCCTGTGCCCACCGCAGCCTCCCCACAATTCCTTTCAAGGTGCACAAATTCGTGCCCTGGGCCCCTAGTCTCACTAAAATCCCCTGCTACCTACCTGTTTTGCCCCAGAATACTTGCAGGTTTCTCAACTGCCATGCCATTTCCTCCTTCTGCATCCTGGTTCTACACCGTTTGCTTGATAATGCCCCTTGCAGCCATGACTGCTGCTCGTGTTTAGAGGCTATCTCTAATCTATAGAGATGGAAAGGAAAGTAGTAGTGGTTGTTGTCTGAGGTTATGTGGCGAGAATGAAGGCTGATCACAAACAGGCATGAGAGATGTTTTTGGAGTGATGGAAAGAGTCTAAAATCAGGTGGTGGTGATGGTTGTACATCTCTGCATGTTTATTAAAACTCGTTGCATCGCACATTTAAAATGAGTGAACTTTATGGTGTTTAAACAATAATGAAGCTGATTTTTAAAAAGTGGGTAAAAAATAGTTGTCTACTCTTTTGGATTGTAGTCAACATATATAAATAACATAGTTAACTTAAGAATTTTAAAAAAATAGATCATCCAGTGCATTCAAAAGGATCCTCGAGGCTAAAGGAAAAAAGGCACCCATCAGATGTTAAAATATACTGAACAGCAAGAGGGTGACAAAACCAAGGGAAAAAAGTCAGATTCAACTGCTGCTTTGCTAGCATGGGAGATCTTAAAACTGCAGGCATTTCTCTAGCTGACCTTTGAAGTCCTGTTAATATTTTCCTTTTGCTCTTGTTCCCCTAAACTCAAATTTTTTACTTGAAAGATTACAATCCAAGAACACACGGGGCGCGCTCGCCCCACTGCCCAGTGGACCGGGTTCACCCTTCGCGCCCTCAGGCAGGGGAGGGGCCGGAACGCCAAGCCCGCTGACCGCGAGCCCGACGCCGACGGCAGGCCCAGGTCCTGCGGCCTCGGGGCGGGTCGTGCCGGCAGCACTCAGGGGAGCGCCGGCAGGTCTGCCCACATCCCCGTCTTTACAGTGGAGGAAACCGGGTGGGCGCAGGGCGACACTCGGAAGTCCGGAGTGACACTGCGAGGTGCCCGAGCAAACACGTCAGCGCCCTCCACACCTCCGGCCGGTTCCCTCCTCCTCCTCACCGAGCGCGCGTCCCGCTGGGTTCCCAATCCTCCCCCTCTTCTTTCGCCCGGGGCTGCCCGCAACCCCCAAGAAAAGGTAGGCGCCCCACAAGCTGTGGGGCAAAGTGATGACTCCAGGGGCGGAGCATGCGCAGTGGCGACGGCGGTTCG